AATGCTCAGGGCCAGGCTTTAAGGCAACCCCCCTCTTGTTTTTTGCAGTGCTGAACTGACTCCTTCCCACACCTGCTGTTCTAGAAGGCTGTCTCTGAAAGAACACGACTTTCTTGCATTTTGGGACACAGTGGCACTAACTCGATAACAATAGGAGAAGGGAAGGCATCCACACCAGCTGCCTACTGATTTACACGGGACGTGTCCCCGGCTGTGGGTAATCCTAAGGGCAGGACTAAGCTGAGGCACCATCCGTGAAAGCTTTGCAGGGGGCTGCACCACCCGTGCCTTCGAACACAGGGAATCAACTACTTTAGACAATGCCAGGAAAGGCCTTTCACAGAAGAGGTACCACCAGGAAGACTGCAGAGATCTACATTCTTCAGATCACCCTGTTCTCAGCAGACCAAGGATTTGGAGGCTAGAGACCAAGAGCCTGCTGTGCTGTGACCAAGGGCACGGTCTGTGTGTTCTGTGAACACGGCCAGAGGCGGCACTTGCACAACTGGGAGACTGGTGTCAACAGAAACTTCTGAGACCACAGAAAACAAGTCAAATTCTGATTAGCTTCATCTGGTTACCAGCACTTTCCCTAAGCACAAGGACACCTTTCACATGGTGGCAGAAGGAAGATTTACGTTAACAAGTTCCAGCTGGCACCGGAATGGGGAACACCTACCTCCAGCACTCGGTCATTCCACAGCGGGCGGAGGGATGGGACTGGGCAATCCCTGAAGCTCCCTTCCAACCCGCGTCTCCTTTTGCTGCCAACAGGCAGTGAGCAAATACTGACACTCCCACCACCTGCTAGGAAAAGGAAAAGCAATTTCCAGTCACCATTTCTAACAGGAACACTACGCTCTGCCACAGGAAGAGGAGGGCGTTCTCGGCGACCCCTCGCGCACAGGGAAGCCGAGGCCCCCGGCCCAGCGCCGGTCACGCATCAGCACAGGAGGCAGATCCACGCAGGACGACTTTGCCTCTCGGGAGCAGGCTGGAGGCACACAGCAGCCAAGGGCTAGGCGTCAGGAGCTCTCACAAATTCGTTCCCAACATCACGCTAGACCAAGAGACTGAAGTACTGAGAGAACTCATGCTTTAATAGACACTGAAATCACAAAGAAGGAAGGCCAAATGCCTTAGCAATTTCAATAAAAATATGAAAATCTTTTTACATGGTAAATTTCATAATATAAAAAGTTTAATGCTGTCTGGAAACAGAGTTTTAATTTACAAAGGAAGTCCATACAGGCCAAACACGGCTAACACTGCATACAAGGAGAGCAAGTGCTACAGGGCTGCTGCTTGCAAGAGTCTCTGCTGCCAGTCCTCTCTGAGTCACCAGCTTCAACGCTCTTTTGAAGGAGTTCTCTAAGTGAGGGGCCACCTTTTCCACACACCTTTGCAGCCTTTCTGGACAGCACGGCACCGAACCCGAAACTGCTCAAACCCACTGTAACCACCCAGCCTGGAACTATACCAGTGTTTCTTAGAGTGACAAATACTTCTGTGCACCTGGATCTACTCTGTGACTTGAAAGAGCCGCTCACCAAACTAGTTTGACCTAATGAAAGGAAATATGGCCTCAAGCAACATACGTGTATGTGGCACCCCTTCAATGTTTTTCCCTTGTTTAGGTAAGATTAAAAAGAAGGAAAATCAGTACCAGGCCAGGGTCCAGGCTAACCAACAAAATAAAATTAAATTGGATTTTGATCAGAGAGATTGTTTACTGTTCCCATTTAGTTGGAGCTAAAGACAGTCAACTAAAAAAAAAAAATAATTCTGTCATTTCACACAGTAGAACGTACTGGGCAAAACCAAACTAAATACATTCTATGGCCCTGGGGAACGGTTGCATGTGGCAGGTTTAATGTGAAAGTGGATAATACCTAATTCTTATTGCTCACTGTATTAAGCAGTGTTGTCACTTGTACCATGCACAAATACAACGACGACAAATGCATTTAAACTCCACAAAGGAATCCTAATATCAAACAAAGAACATGTTATTCCTGAATTTCTTCACATATTGGGTAAACCTGATAAAACTCTCTTTTCCTCAAAAAGGGGATGCTTCTCGTTCAGGGCGTGGAGGAGTGAGGCACGAGGTGTGTGAAGTGTCTCCCGGCCATGAGTAAGAGTAAGCATGCATCGTCACGGCGCGCGGCAAGCCAATGCAAGTGCCCCGTGTCAAGTCAATGGAAACGCGTTTCCCAAAGAACTTGTTCTAGTGATACTCACCTTCTGTATTTATACAACACCGATTTCCCAAATACTGAACTTCTACATCTGAACCCTTCCCTGTTTCTAATGCTCCCCCCTCCTTAAAAAAAACACCAGGAGAACCACCCACCCCCCCGCCCTCCCCCATTTAGCTCTTTCTGAAAACTTCAAGCCAGTGTGAAACCTACTGGCAGCATGAAAATGGGTTGTACCAAAATGGCAACATATCAGTTCTACAGATTAGAAGATCCTTTAGTTATGGAAGTAAACTGCGAGAAAAGAGGCTTATCTCTGGCATGTTATGCAGCACTGCAGGGAGTATTTGCTGTTGCTATGAACAAAAAGCTGCCCACTTCCATCCTGGATGTTCCTGGGACATCATTTTAGCACAGTTATGCTGGTCAGAAACAGAGTAGGTCACGTGAAGTCTCTCAGCAGCCTTGTGACCGCATCAAGTTGCACGATCAGCAATATCACCGTCTACAGGATGGGTAGACGCTGCACGGACTCATTTTGGCCCGCTATTCTAACTTTTCCTGCCAAATGAGGAGACGATGGTATTTAGCACCAAACCTTCACAAAGACGTAGTGTACAGACAAACGACGTGCATCGTGAGTCGAAAAGATTTACTCAACTGTTTTGCTACATTGCATAATACGAGTAGGTAACTACTCTTTTTGCCTTTCTGCATTGAAACTTTTGTGATCATCCATCCCTTATTAGCTGTATTCTACACAGGCCTATGTTCTTTGCCTTTAGCGCTTGTGTTAATTTCTAGTGATGGCAAAAAGGAAAACATTCTCCCAAAACCAGTGGATTCCAGAAAATACTCAAAGCAAGCATTTGATACACGCACCATGAGTAAGCTGAGCCTAAATAATTTCATATTCCGGTATCAGAACTCAATCCTCTGTCCTGCTATCACACTTTTCCTCCAGTATCCCTAAGAAAATTGCGAGTGATCAGATCTGTATTTTCAAGAAGAGACCATCCAGACATGATAAGTGCAACAATTACCTGCATCAGCAGCGTGCCCCTAACGCTTTTCTCGAGCTGACCGCACTCACCACTCAGGGAGTCAGTTGCAAGACTGGAAGCTGACTTATGATCCAGCTAAAACTCAGGGCCTAATTACTTAAGCCTCACAACACCTCTGTGAGGTAGGTAGGTAAGTATTACTATCCCCATTTAGATAGAAAGGGAAGACGAGGCACGGAGAGGTGAAGTGAGTCGCCTTCAGTCACTCAGCAAGTTTTGGGAGTGCAGAATAGAAACCAAAAGCCTCGGTGATCCAGTGCTCTGACTTCACAGCACGTGGCCTGGGAAATGCTTCGCTTGGGGGTCAGTGTGCCGTGCGGCCGAGCTAATGCTACCACAGGCCCACCGTTTTCAGTGCATGTAAATCACCATTCTGAGTCTGGTTACACCACTGCATCCAATAGCCACTTAAAAGAAATAACCTCCAACTTCTTCCTTAACACCTAAACACCACCTAGCCTAGGAAAGCTTACTTTACACGTCACCCCTGGGGTGCTCTTGGTTCTCGCTTCTCCACAGATCAGAGGGTGCACAAGTCGTGCACACAGGCACTCTGCTGTCGCCTCATGCACGTGCTCTGACCACACTGACATCTGCTTCGGCTGCCAGCCTTGCTCCAACGGGAACCTGCTGCCTTCCGCAGCAGGGGGAAAGTTTGCAGACCTGTCCATGATGAACTACCTAGAATGAGTTAGCAGGATCAGTGAAGGATTCTTTTCTGCCAGGTGATTTCTAAATCACACGCGTGGATGTCACATTCCCACCTACTGTGGAACTGTAAAATAACGTTCTGAGCTTCAGCGCCTGTAACGCTTTTCTGTGCACACTCAGCAGACCAAAGACAGCTGCGCTGCCCGAATGCCTGCCAAGAGGAAAATCTCACCTTCATAAGGCCGTGTGCCAGGAAGATCAGAGCACTCAGTAAAATGTGTCTCTCTGACACATGCTTGTTACTTCACGCTGAGGTTCACCTTATGATGACCCCAACATTCTTTCTGAGCAAACCAATCAGCAAAACGTCACCTGAAAGGATTCTCTCCAGAAAAGAGTTACCCGAGATGCAGGTTTTAGAATGGGGCACCTCTGCCCTCTTGTCTTTGTTTCACCAGCCTCTGAATGAGGCAAACCAATTGCCAGTGTCAAGCTGCTATGGAGCTCCATGGCCAGCAACTTCTTGTGTTCGGCTGACTTAGCAGAGACATCTAGGAGGTACATTTCCTTGTCCTCCCTCTCTGTCAGTCTTTGGAAGCAATCAGATAGATGGCTTGTACTTCTGCAGGCAGAAACCCGTGCACACTTTCTTTGTGGTACACACCCAAGTTCTGCCTCCTCTCACTTCCCTCTCCAGTCCCTGATATGTATAATTTCTGTATAAAAAGCCAGCTGCAAAACCTCCTGTTAGGTTAAGAAATACAAGTAGGTGGCTTAACAAGCTAGTATTTCCTGAACAGACAACTAGATTCATTGGACCTGTTGCTGCAAATACTGAACACTGCAGAGAACATGTTACCAAGTGAGTCTGGCCGAGGTCCTAATCTGGGAAACTAAACCCCATCTGTGTAAGGCCCCTGCTCCCATGCAGCGACAGACGGGGCGATCCGTCACGTTCCTGTGCATTGCCAGCTTCGGCTGTGACCGCGGCTTCTTCGATAATGGTTCTGTACTGATAAAGGCAAGTGGGCAGAAGCAAATACTTTAACAAGGTTGTAAGTCATCAGCTGGTATTCAAGACATTTCAACATTTGGAGGACGGAAAAAATCTTCCTGGTGACAAAAATTTATAACCGTTCCCGGACGGCAGCCTCAAGGGGCGTGTGGTTCCTGGGGCGCTACTGGAAGGCAGAGAGTGAGTGGATGTCACTGCATTTGTGGTTTCAGGGCGCCTGTGTCCATTTGGAGGGTTTTTTTGTGGAGAAGCAAGGTGCTGCTCAACAGACAGGTCCTTTAGTTCCAGCTTATCTGCACTTTCTTCTTTGCTGTGCCGTGGAGACAAATTGAGCAAGCTGAGGACATCTTTCTTAGAAGTCATTGTTCCAGGAGCTCCTCGGAGAATCTTTATTGGGCCAGTGGAGTGATGGGGAGTGCTCTGCCAAAACATCTTTAAGTTGTGAATTGCTTGCACTTTTTCATCGATGGCAGCCATTTTTAATTTGTCTATGTCTGGGGCACCGGCTGGACTTGAGCGAGCAGAACCAGCTGAGGAGTAAGAAAGCGCAGGAGATGGAGTGCTGCCACCAGGAGACTGATGTCCTGAGCTTGGAGAAATATTTCTGGGTGATTTAGAAATATGAGCACTGTAGGGAGAGCTGGGGTACTTGAGTTTGAAGTGAGGCTGCTCAGTTAATGACCCATGTGAATCACAGCTCGGAGAGGGCTGCCCACTGCACTGGCCTGTGCCTTCCTTGTTTGACATCTCCGATGTCGTGGGGCTATTATAGCCGGAACTGACTTTCTGAAGGGATGAACTCCTGGTTGGAGGCTTTGGTTTAATTGTAAGAGGTGAAGATTGACTCTTCTGACTGGAGCTGACTGGCCGACTGAATGCACTGGTCTCTGAAGATCTGAACGCAGACACACCTGCAGGGGTGGAAGCCCCATCATCTGAGGTGTTGCTCTTGCTTACTTGGCTGCTGCTTCTCTGGAGACGTTCAACAGCAATGAGGTGACTCTGTGTTTCCTCCAGAATTTTTTGGGCCAACTCCTGCGGATCAAGCTTTGGATTAGCGTCCTCCTGGGACTTGACAGTGCTGTCAGTCTCAGTGCTAGACTGGTCAGATTCCCCAGTATCAGAACTTGCAAGTTTCCCAACTTTCTGGAAAGGTGAATTTGGACTGGGAATAAGAGTCATTTTAACAGGAGAATTTGGGGTACTTACACTCCCCTTGGAGTTGACAGACTCTTTAATGCCTCCAGTCTGACCAGTTTTGGACTGTTTGTGATCAGGGGAAAACCTTGGTTTTACATTTTCTTGGTAACTGGCCAAAGGCTCATTGCTGATTATAGAAAAACCTTCATACTCTTCCTCATCTTTGCTGGCCACCGTGCTGGTTTGCGGCGACAACTGGCTCTGTGCTGCAGACCTGTGGGGATAGATGTTCTTTGGCCTCTCATAGTCTTGGCGTCCTCTGTGTCCCGCACCATCTGGCAAACCCTCTGGCTTAGAAACAAAGCTCATGGAAGAAGCAATGGAGCTCAGGCTATACACGGAGATGGCATCTGAGGCGATGCTGTCTGGGCAAGTAGGAGAGAATGGAGGGTTCTGATACTGGGGTGCAGGGTTGGAAACAGACTGAGCAGAAGCCAGTGACTCTAGCGATGAGGAACTGTCCAGGCTAAGGCGCTTAGGCAGCTCTGTAGAATCTGAAAAAGGAAAAGAATAATGTACAAACATGCCCCTAGGTGCACAGAAAAATCAAACAAACCCAGGTAATGTTTTATCGAGATCAAGAGGAAATGCTACAAAACACGCACTCAGACTCTACGCTACTTCAAAAAACTTAAGCTGCTATTTAGGTGAGAAAACGATCACAGCCCAGGAAATGCACAGGCAGGGATGCAGCTCAGGCATCC